AACTACGATTTAGTCGCGTTCACACCAAAAAGTCCCAGGAACTAAATTAGTTTTAGAGAACCTTTTTTACCCCTTTTCAGTCCCTGCTAGTCTGATTGGCTGGGCGGAATGCAAACCACGCCCCGTCAAACTCCCAAAAACGTTTGTGAAGCCGCCATTTTATTATCCTCGCATTGCATTATTAGCATTAGCATTAGCCCAGCGCAGTAACGCAGAGAGAATAACTTATGACAACACAAAATAAAACATGGGAGCGGTGGAGATGAGGAGGTGTCGGCGTTCTGGCCGTTTACTCTGAAGGCTTCCACTGAATCCTTCCCCAACTCCGGGGACTTCCGGCCGGGAATTTTGGGCGGCAGTACACGCCGTGAAGTTGTTTGCGGCCTGCCAGTAAACCCAAAGCAGAAGAAGAAGAAGTGACGTCAGCGGCTTCATTTGCCTAATCCACCCCCAGGAACTAATTTCCGGTGTGAACGCGATCTGTACTTAGTTCATGAGAACTAAAGAGTTCTCAGGAACCTTTGTAGGAAAAGTACTTGGTGTGACCGCGCCTAATGCAACATATATAATAAAATACAAAATAGTGCAAAAAGTCTATATACATTTCCATCACCTAGTTTCTACCTAATGTACAATGATGTATACTGTTTGTATAATTGTTATGCTATGACGTTTGTATTTTGTCTTTGCTTTTGTTTGCTTTGTACAGCCCTTTGAGGCATTTCTTGTGCTTTGGGGATATACAGTAATACATGTTGATTTGATATATAGATCTTAACGTGTACTCTGTGTGTTGTGCAGTGTCTCTGCTGGAGAAGTACTGCAGTGCAGGTTTGTCTGATGTTTGGGCAGCGAGCTCCTTTAAAGGCTCCACCTGCGTTCACACCTGTGTGCCGAGCACCCAGAGACACCTGGAGAACCACGAGAGGTGGCTTCAGGTCGCTGCGTCTGTCTCTGCTGCCGTGCACCTGCAGGGCATCGCTCTCACCGGCTGGCAACGGTAAATCACATCGATCACTAAAGACTGAAGCTTCCTTTGTGCTCCAGTCAGTCCTCACAGTGAACACAGAGCTGAATCCAGATCAGATGCACGCTGAAGGCTCTTTGAGCATCTCTCACTGATCCTGCTGTTATGTTAAATGTTTGTTGTTTGTTTCTCATGTGTTGTGTCTTGATATCTGTCTGTTGATGTTACACATGGAGCTGCTGTGGTGCAAGTCACCTTTCAGACTTGATCTGACCATTACAGTATTATCGTATCGTATCATATCGTAATAGACACATTTCTATTTTTCATATGTTTCTTGAACAGTATGTCCATGTGACGTTAAGACACAGCTTGCTATACGATGTGTTTGCAGGTACGACCACCTGTCCGTGCTGTGTGAGCTGATGCCCGCGGCTCTCCCCTCTCTCGCAGCCTGTCTGCAGACGCTGATCCTGGGTCAGTTCAGTGCCGAGGCTCAGAGACACGTGACAGAGGGACTGGGAATCCCCTCAGTGGAGGTGGAGGACATCGGGAGGTAAGAAGTACTTTATTCATCCCAATTTGGGAAGTTTTTGTGATGTGAGGTCCACAATCGTTCTGGTGTACAACATCCTGCACAATACCGCCCCTCCACCTCTTAACTCGTCGGTTACTCAACGTAGCAACACCAGACTGGCCAATAGAAACACCACGTGGCGACCTACCAGTCCCATTCAGGAAGAGTTCTTTTGGTCAGTCAGCATTCTCGGTCACAGCAATACAAAACTGGAACTCTTTACCCACTCAAATCAAAGACATACATACATATAGCACCTTCACAGCTCATAAGAGAACTACACCTGCACACACTAGTCTGTGTTTGATATGACGTGATCATGGAGGTTTTCCCTGGTTTCTGTTGTGTGATTGTGACGTGCTATATGTGACATGTATGTAGTATAGGGCTGAACGATGTCCCGTGTCATGGCGATAACCGCGATTTTTTTTTTTTAGGGCGTTCGATATTAAGTAGGTAAATTAACTCAAACACGTCATGTTACAATTATTTTGCTGCTTGCTACAAAAGGAAAACTTGCGCGGCTCTCATGTCAGGGGTGAGTGCTTGAGTGGAGTGACATGCAGGCTCTGAGTCTGCATGCACAGCAAACAGCTGTTTCAGATGCCTTTGCCGGTGTTACTCCATATGAGAAAGGTTCAAACGGCAGAAAGGAGCTGGTGTATAGCTTTTCTTCATTTTATTTTGATAATGTTGTTTAAAAGATGTCCACTACTTTGCTGCTATTTGCACAAAAAAGGTTTTAATTGTGGAATAAAAAGTGAAATGACCTATTTGGTCACGTATGTTAATTCCCTAATGTGATAATGAAGCTCCCTATAGTTTAATGTAATACGTTTAATCTCTTGGATCCCTTCTAGACCCCACTCTTCTTCATTCACAGGTGAACCCCCTTATTTGAGGGTAAGCAACCTGCATTATCATGACATGTTAGATCATGACTTAAGGTATGATGAGTCAACCAATTAAGATCCAGACGGCCGTGACTAAAATCCTTCATCCGGTTAAATATAGTTAAAAAAAACGCAATATATATCGCAGGAGAAAAGAATATCGCAATGTCAGTTTTTTTCAATATCGTGCAGCCCTAATGTAATAACGTGTGTTGTTTATTGTTCTCTTTTATCCTTTCACCTGTATCTACTTGTCCTTCATCCTTTCTTTATAACTAATGCTGTTGATATATTGTGATTTTAAAAAGGTGTCTGTTATCATCTGG